ACCAGCATTAAGATCAATTACTTCACAAGGTTACTGTCAGTAGTAAATCAGATACATGTATAGAAGAACTTGGCACAATGCCTGGCATAAAGCCCTATTCTCTCTTTTGCCCTTGTGTTCCTACACTGATCTTGTTTGTCTCTTGTAGACTATAAGGTCCCCCAAGGACAGGGACATGTCTTACTTATTTTCTGAAGTTCTCTAGCACTTAATGCAGAGCTTTGCACAGAGTTGTTTTGCATTAAATAAGAAAAACAAACATTTGTGAACAAACATTTGTTGAAGTTAATTGTGCTTAGGCTGTGGACCTAAGTGAAAATGGAGACACATGCAATGTTTTTGAGCATGAAAAAGACATGGGAAATGGTTTAGTAAGTTTCTGTGACATATCAATTTATATGGTAAGTGACTTTGATTCTACACAAACAATATTAAACTTTTTAACCTGAAAGTCAAATATATTTAAAAATGAGCTTTGTGATCAAACTTGCCATAACATATATTAATGTGAGCACTTCCTTCAAACTAACCACCATGGAAGACCACTCTAATATTATTCTTTGTTCAGAGCGTTTGTTAGTAACGGCTTTGAGAGTTTGCTTCTGAGTCACATAAGAAAATCAGTATAATCATTTCATAGCCAGATTTAAATTTTAAACCTAAAAGTTAATATATAATCATCACTCCTCAAATTAGTGATATGCCATAGCTCAAAATGACTATTGATTACTTCCCACAATCAAATAAAGCATTAAAGTACAAAGATTTCCCAGTCCAATGATATACAGAAAAATATGGTATATGAATGACATACATATGTTGTGAAGACAACTTTAAAATTCCAAAAGATATAATGAGCAACAGCAACATTGTCTGATAAAGAAAGTCTCATGACATGTTTATCTGGAATAGGTTAATATTCGTCTAGATATTTCTTTTTCATTTTTTTTTCTTGAGTCAGAGTCTCACTCTTGTCACCCAGGCTGGAGGGCAGTGGTGTGATCTTGGCTCACTGCAACCTCTGCCTCCCAGGTTCAAGCGATTCTCCTGCCTCAGCCTCCCAAGTAGCTGGAATTACAGGCATGTGTCACCACGTACAGCTAATTTTTTGTATTTTTAGTAGACACAGGGTTTCTCCATGTTGGTCAGGCTGGTCTCTAACTCCTGACCTCAGATGATCTGCCCGCCTTGGCCTCCCAAAGGGCTGGGATTACAGGCATGAGCCACCGCACCTGGCCCATCCAGATATTTCTAGATAGATATTTAACAACATGCTAATCACATTATTTTATAGTATGTGCAGATATATGAGGCTTTGTTTGCATGAACCCTATTAAATATATATTCATAATTCTTATACGCAAACTGGACAACTAGACAAACCAGGCTCATAGACTCCTGTCCCCCTCAGTATCTGCCACCCTTCTGGGTAAATTCAGGGTCAATAAAGACAAACCATCAGTATCTTCATCTCCCATCTCTTTACCATCTTCTTTACTTGAGTCCCTCATGCTCATAAATACCACCTAAGCCTTCTTTTCTTTCTTTTTTTATTTTTATTTTTTGAGACAGCGTCTCACTCTGTCACTAGACTGAAGTGCAGTGGCACGATCTTGGCTCACCACAACCTCTGCCTCCCGAGTTCAAGCGATTCCCCTGCCTCAACCTTCTGAGTAGCTGGGACTACAGGCCTACATCACCAGGCTCAGCTAATTTTTTTTTTTTTGTATTTTAGTAGAGACAGGGTTTCACCATGTTGGCCGTGATGGTCTCAAACTCCAGACCTCATGATCTGCCTGCCTCGGCCTCCCAGAGTGCTGGGATTACAGGTGTGAGCCACTGTGTCTGGCCAACTTAAGCCCTATTTTCACTTCAGATAGATCAACCTCCAAAATCAATAATGCAAACCTCCTATTTCCTGTTTGCAGCCCCTATTTTTCTAGCTTGCTTGCTCATCTACTTATGCCTCAAACATTCTTTAGCCTAACTACAGTTTCTAGTACCTCCAATTGTATTTGCTCTTGCACATCCTAGCTTACCTTCAGATCTTCTCATCATCTTTATTACCATCACCCATGTCCAAGTTACCATTGTTTTTACCTGGATTATTGTAATAAACTCCAAATGGTTTTTCTACTTCTGCCTATCCCTCTCAAGGGCCTCGTAGAGTAATCTTTTTAATAGAGAAGTTATAATATAGCACTCTTCTGCTTAATACTGACTAAAAGCTTCACTTAGAGTAAAAGTCAACATCCTTAAAATTATCTATGAGTAGACACTACCTGCTGATCCCTTATTTCCTTTGTGGCCTCATTTCCTTTCAATTCCATCTTGCTCATGGTAATCCAACTGTACTGGCCTCTCAGCTGCTCATCAGACACACCATGTATATTCACCTCTCAAGGCCTTTGTACTGCTCTTCTCCCTGCCTGGAAAACTCTTCTCTCAAGTGTCTTCATGGCTTGGTCCACTGTTTCCTCTACCTCTCTATTCAAATGTCTTCTTGCCAATGCAGCATTTTAACCATCCTATTTAAACAAGCCAATGCCACTCCTCTACTTCTGCCCTTCCCTGCTTTATTTTACTTCACAGAATATATCACCATCTGACATACTACATATTTTCTTTTCTTTTTTTGTTGGCTGTTGTTTATTGTACTTCCATTCAAATATAAGAATCATAAGGGCAGAGATTTTCATCTGTTGTTCACTGCTATATTCCCTGTGCCTAGAACAATGCTTTGTTCCAAGTAGGCAACAAATAATTATTGGTATTTGGATTTAATGAATTCAACTTACAGTTCATAGTCCATTATTTTACCCATACTTTTCTCACTGAATTTTGTGTATGTAAATATCTGGATGATTAAGTTAGTTCGTGAATGGGGCTTCATTAACGTCTGGATTTACAATACCTTCTGAAGAGAAAATCTAGGATTATGCTGCAGCTGGAGAAATTAAACTGTGGCTATTAGATGCCTACTGGAAAGATGTGCTCCTCCTAACCCGGTTATTCAGAAATAAAGCCTTGACCTTTCATTTTGTCAAAATAAAAGTGTTTCTATATAAATTCCTTTACTGAAACCTATAAAAACAAAAATAATGAAAGAGGGAAAAGAAAGCTCCATCTTAAGTGAAGCAAGAAATGGCCACAACTGTGGACCACTGACTGTGAAGACTATTTGCCAAATTCAACAAAGTGTACGCTAAAATGCCAAAGGCCAACATACACATTCTCATATTTCTCCAAATGTCACAGTGCTAAGAGGTCTATCCAAATTTCCTTCACTGGGTAACTAGATCTGGTCAACATGGCCAAACCATTGCAGAATTTGGAAAAACTCTGTAGGGATCTAGGTTCACTCCTAAAGAATGGCAGGGGAAGCAAAGTACAAGGGGAAGTCATACTGATAAAACTTTTCCCCTGGCCAGGCACGGTGGCTCACGCTTGTAATCCCAGCACTTTGGGAGGCCAAGGTAGGCAGATCACGAGGTCAGGAGTTCAAGACCAGCCTGGCCAACATGGTGAAACTCCATCTCTACTAAAAATATAAAAGTTATCTGGGCATGGTAGCACACACTTGTAATCCCAACTACTCAGGAGGCTGAGGCAGAACAGCTTGAACTGGGACCCAGGAAGCGGAGATTGCAGTGAGCTGAGATCATAGCACTGCACTCCAACCTGGGCTCCAGAGCGAGACTCTGTCTCAAAAAAACAAAAACAAAACCAAAAAACTTTTCCTCTTATTTACCTTGGCCTTCAGACAGAGGAAGTCTGCCTTGAAGTGAGGCTGATGAATGTGCTGTAGAAGCCATGATCAATTTTGTAGCTACTGACCAGTCAGCTCAACAGAAACAGACATTAGGCTTTGATAGCCCATGACAGAAAAAGACTCCATATTTCAATACTCTGGTCAAAGTTCTTCATCTAGGTACAAATACAACCAAACATATTTCTTTGGGCCCAAATCTCCATTTAGCATGCAAGAATATCAGAAGAAACTTCAACACTTTAAGACTCTGTTCTTCAAACTGGGATATACAGAGGTATGCCAGTGTGTATGTTTAGTCCTTTCCCCCCATAAAAGTCCTATAGCTAAGTAGTTTTCATGAGACTCACATTATTCTCAACTCAGATATTAGATGTCCCTGTCACTCATGGGTATTTATCATTTACTTTGCCCCCATTTCCTATCTTTAATTTATCCTTCCAGAAACTGAACTCGTGAAAAAATGAACAGAAAGATAACTTTTGTCTTCTCATTTTTCTTATTTTTCAGTATATTAATGATTTTATTCTGAAACTCTCAATTTCTTTTAAATCCATCTACCTTTTAGTTTCTATCTAATGTTTCTATGATCTTTACAATTTTCAAAAAATTTGTTTTCTAAGCATTGTCAATGTTTACATATTTAACTGTGGCTGACATATTCTCCTTTTATTACTATGAACTCTAAAATGGCATTGGGGCACATCCTTTTAAAATGATTTCCATAACTTCTGTTTCATCCTTACTGGATGATAAATCCAGAGCACACACCTCTTGTCCTATTCTTTACTTTCTCAAAGAAGAGACTACCAGCAAGATCAGTTTAAAAAAAAAAAAAAGTATCAAAATTCTGCTTTGGCAGAATGACACTTCCAGAGACTATAAACGTAGTTTCTAATCATGACATTTACCTGTCTCTAGGCCAGATCTGAAACTTACATTAAAAGAGCAGCACTTATATTCTTCTTTATCTACCTAAGATGTCTGTATTTGGCTCCCACAGAATTATCATTGTATGTGTGTGTCTTACCTTACACTCTCATACTATGTTCTCTACCAGCCTTAAACCTAGTCACTCAAGCATTTCCAAGCAAGGCACTCTTCCACAGATCTCATTAGATGTTATTTTACTTGAACAACAAATAACACATGTGTTAGTCTGTTAGTGTTGCTATAAAGAAATACTTGAGGCTGGGTAATTTATTTAAAAAAAGAGGTTTAATTGACTCACGGTTCAGCAGGTTCCTCAGGCCGTACAGAACATGTGCCTCTGGAGAGGCCTCAGGAAGCTCACAATTGTGCCAGAAGATGAAGGGGAGCAGCCACATCACATGGCGAGAGTGAGAGCAAGAGTGGAGGGGAGGGGGAAGTGTCACACACTTTTAAACAACCAGATCTCGTGTGAATTCACAGCAAGAACTCACTCATCACACCAGGGGGATGGCACTAAGCTATTCATGAAGGATCCGCCCTCATGATCCAAACACCTCCCACCAGGCCCCAGCTCCAACACCAGGGACTACATTTCAACATGAGATTTGGAGGGGACAAACATCCAAACCATCTCAACTTCCCACTGGCATATTCCAGCAATTACCTTTATCACAGCAAGTTTGCCATACCTAAGATTATATTTATCTACTTCCATTATACTTTGGGTTCATCTTATTATTTTATCTGCCCTAGTAAAAAGGCATGAGTGTTAAAGTGTTTATAAGAGATTTTTAAAATTTTCATTTTTCATTATCACTATGGGTTCTTTAATAGTTGTACATATGATGGGGTATATGTCATTCAGAGATGTTGCTGAAACAAAGTTAATCACCTTTTAACATTTAAAAAAGATATTCTTTTCAAAGTACTATAGGCACCAGAGAAACAAACTTGTGGGGAATTTTTTTCTATTTAAGAAATCATTTATTTTAACTTTTCTGAAGCAAAACTGAAGTGATGTTTTTTCTTATTTTCTCTTGTGAATCACTGACACATTTTTTTCAGCTACTGTGTTACTTCTAACTCAGATTTACAACTGATAGTCTCCGACTATCTCATTTTATCATTTTAACTGAGCAAACTAGAAAATCTAGTTTTAGATCCTTTCGTAGGATGCTACTTGATACTCATACCATTTTAGCCTTTCTTCAAAGTCATGACCTCAACTGGGAGAAGAGATGAAAACACTCCTTTAAGTGCGCAAACCAAGTGCCTCTGATTTTATCATTCATTTCTATATGAATCAGCAAGAAGGTATTATGGTCTATACCCAATAAGTTTCAAGAAACCTCTTGAGGAAATCTCATACCTGCTCTATCATGATTTGCCTCAATATAAATGAAAAAGAAATAAAATGCCTTCCTTCTTTTCCCATATCTGAAGGATTTGTTTGGATGTTTACCCTCTGATTCTCAATTCTAGGTCTTTGGAGACCTACAGGCATTTACCTAATATATACATGGCATATTATAAAATTATCAGTGTATAAAAAGATTTAGATAGTATTGTCAAGGACTCCTTTATAGGTTTTTAAAATATTCTCCTTTACTGATGATTGTTACCAAAAACTAATACATGGGACTTAAAATCTGAGGTTGAGCTTGAAACTGTGCCAGACACAAAAGAGACAAAAGATACAGTAATACGGTCTTCAGGAATTTGCAATCCAGTTAGTAATCTAGCACTCCTGAACACAGCCATATGCTCTTACTCCCGCTGTAACATCAGGCGTCCGCAGTAAGAGGGGTGCAGCCAGCTGACCAGAACACTGGGTTCATGCAAGTGTTTTTGAGATCACTTTATATCAACAAGAAAACATAAAACTGCTATTATTCTTGAACTCAGAAGGCTATATTTCAATTAAATAAACATTTGAAATAATAGATTTCATAAGAAGAACTCACTATACATAGGAAGAATAACCCGAGAGCTATATCCATATGGAATTTTTATGAGAAAGAATTAACTTAAATAAAATCTTCTGTCCAAAATTATAGCAATACTGAAAATTAAAAACCAAGTTGCTTACTTTTACTATGATAAGCCTAGCCAGGTTTTCACATCTCAGGTGATCATTTTCTGTATACTCCACTTCAAACAGGGTATTATAATTTTCTAGAATTTTAGCCATTATCTTGTTGCACAGGTCCTGTTCCTTCATGCCTTCAAGCCCAGGAGGCACACTAGAAACAGGAAAAAGAAAGAGAGGAATTAGTAAAAACAACAATGCCTGCTAGCTGACGCAGACTTATATTTTGAAATCTCCTGCATAATTAGCCTTCTTATAGGGATGCATGGGATTTTCAAGCTCTACGGTAACAGGCATGACGTTGTTGGCGTAATTGGTGAGTTCCCAAGTTCTGAATCAATAGCTTGGGCTGAATAAGAAAAAATATAAGCTGTTCAGGAAGAAGATAGAGATGAACACTGAGGCCAGCTGTCCTTTGAATATATTAAAAATTATTACATGTATTTATATAAAAGTTAAAGAGTGAGGGTTTTCATAACAGAACTAGCCACACAAATAATAGCAACACAATCTTTATTTAAAGATTTCTTAGATAACACACAAAAAGCACAAACCTTAAAGGTAGAAATGAATACTACTGGGGAAAAATAATAACTGTTGAGCTAAGTGACAAGCGCATGGAAGGTCTATTATACTATTCTCTCTTCTTTCGAATATTTTTAAAATTTTTCACAATAAGAATAGTTGAAAATAAATCTGAATGCAAAACACCCCATAAACAAGGTAAAAAGATAATTTACAGATTGTAAAAAGATAAACTTCTTCAGTAACATGTATAACCGACAAAGATTAGTAGTTACAGTATGTAAAGAACTCTTACTAATCAACAGGTAAGATAAGTCCGAAAGAAAAAGAGACGAAAGACATGAGATGGAAATATTGCAGAACACTTAATAACCTTATGAAAAGATACTCAGCTTCACTGAATAACCAGAGAAATGCATTTAAAAAGCACCACTTAGGTCTCATTTACTAACTCTCTGTATTAATTTTGTGAGGCTGTTGTACCAAATTACCACAAACTAGGTGGCTTAAAACAACAGAAAGGATTATCTTCCAGCTCTGGAGGCCAAAAGAGCAAAATCGCTATCACTGGGACAAAATCAAGGTGTCAGCTGGGCTACACTCTCTATGAAAGGCCTAGAGAAGCTGTTCCTTGCCTTCCCTGGCTTCTGGTAGCTGCCAGCATGGCTTGACTACAGGCACATCACACCAATCTTTAATCAGGGCCAACACCTGCAAATCTCTCTCTGCTCCATCATCATATGGCCTTCTCTACGTGTGTTTAATATGCCACTGCCCCCTTCTTATAAGGATACTTGTGACTGCGTTTCACGTCCACTCCCTCATCCCTTGAAAATCCAGGATAATCCTTATATCTCGAGATCCCTATCTTAATCACATCTGCAAAGAGTCTGTTTTCCAAAAAACCTAACATTTACACATTCCAGGGATTATGACCTGATATCTTTGGGGGATACTATTTAATCTACTAGACTATCTTGGAATACACACCAGAAGGTCCCCTCTACTTGGGTGTATATAGAACCTATGACTTGTTTCTGATCAATACAATATGGCAAAGGTGATAGGATGTCACTCCCGTGATTATGCTACAATGGATGAAACTCAGTCTTAGAAGATTGAAGTGAGAGATTCTCTCATTGGCCTTAAAGAAATAGGCAGCCAAGTTGTGAGATGGCTGTAAGAGGGTCACGTGGCAGGGAACTATGGGGACATCAGGGGGGCTACAGCCATAAGAACACAGTAAGAGGCTAGGGTCCTTAGTCATGCAGCTGCAAAGAAATGAACTCTGCCAACAACTTGAACGAGTTTGGAAGCAAATTATTCCCCAATCTCAAATGAAAATGCATCCCAGTTAATACCGTGAATTTGGCATTGTAAGACCAAGAGCAGAGGATTCAGTTAAATTGTGCCCAGCTTCCTGATCCTTAGCAAATGTTTGTTGTTTTAAGCCACTAAATGTGCGGTAATTTGTTACACTACCATACAGAGTTTAGTACCTGGAAAAGGGATGCTGCCATAACAAATACCTAAAATGTGGAAGTGACTTGGGAACTGGGTAGTGGAAGGAGACTGGGCAGCATCATACAGAAGGCCTCAAATGCCTTGAACCAGTTCTTCATTGACTCCTGGACCTTAAGGACACCACTGATGAGGGCTCACAAAGAAATGAGGAATATGTTACTGGAAACTGGAGCAAGGGAGACCCTTGTGATGGTGGCAGAAAACTTAGGGAAATTGTATCCTATAGTTATGTGAAAAGATAAACTTGTCAGCAATGGTCTTAGATACACAGTTAATGTTATTTCCAAGCAATGGTTTGAAAGTGCCACCTAGTTTCTTCTTACCACTTACAATAAAATGCAAGAGAAGAAAGAGGAAGAAATTGAGAGAACTTATACAGACATGAAACAGGACATGGTTTTAAAAATTTTCAGACTCTCCAATAGAAAAGACACTAAAATTAAGAAATTCACTGTTAAGAAAGCAGGCTCTATAAAAAAGGTTGAGAGTGTGACTACACGGACTTTTGCTAAAACCTCAAAAAGATCAAATCCTCATATTATGCAGTCAGGCAAAGGTCCCTTTCAAGGGATGAAGGGTGTGCCTAACAGATCCCGTCAACCAAATCAGAGAGCCTCTAGGAATTCAAAAGCATTGTCCCTCAGCCCTTGTAGCATGAGCTAAAGATGGAAAAGGTGTGGATATGTCTTATAATGAAGTGAATCTCTGTAACATCCACAGAATACTCACAAAATTTTTGAAATATTTATTTCAGCAAAAACATTGCCAACGTGGACTAAAAGGGATAGAGAGGATTCAAAATGAAAGGACAATGTTGGAGCCCCCAAATTCTAGTGGCAAGAAGCAGTTGATAAAACTACTCAGCTGCAAACATAAGTAGTTTCATTAAAAATGAAGCATGACTCAGAGAGCAGAACCAAGAATCTAGAGGGCCATGACATAAAAATCACAGGAGGTCACTGTTGTGGACTAAGTCCAACAAACCAGATTAAAAATCAAAGTGGAGTCACCCATGCTAAAGTTCCACATCACCAAATCAAAACTAAGTTGTTATCTGACTTTCTAAAATCAGGAAAGAGAGAAAACATCCAACGTCCCAAACAGGCGCTTCAATTGCGTGATAGTGAAGTTTCCTGTTTTAATCCTTAACCTGAAATAACCTAATGTTAACCAAACAGCTATTTTTCTATTGTTTTGTCTCCCAGTTCCTACAAGGAAAATAACTTTAAAATGACTGATCTACCTTTTGTTCTTTGCTTCTGCTTTCTTCAGGCCTTTTTTCTGCCCCCAAAAAATAACCTCCGTGCTTGACTCACTGGAACACTTACTCTATTTGATAGAATGAAGTACTGCATGATTCTACAATCTAAAACAAAGCCAATTCAGATCTTTAAACTAAATTTGTTGTAATTTTGTCTTCTGACGGATAAGATGACCAGTGAAAGGACCTGAATGAAGGTTACTGATGTCTCTGAGACTCTTTGAGGAACACAGAAAAGATGCTGCTAACCTCCCCTTTAAGTGGTAGGGGGGTGGGTCGCCTGTCCTCCCTCTGGAGCCCTGAGAATCATGTGTAAATTTCTCTCAGGCCTGGGCTCTGCTCTCTTTTGCATTTGAGTACTCTGGTCTCTTTGGCTTTGAGGGTACCACTGGGTAGGGTAGTTTGTGCTATGGCAGGGCACACAACCTGTGGTTTGTAGTGACTGAAGAGTCACTGCAAAAAAAAAAAAAAAAAAAAAAAAAAGCTGCAGTTTTTAAGGTAACTGCTTTCTGCCGCACTAAGTGGTCATTACTACAGGGGGCTCTTTATTTCTTCTTTTCTGTGTGCTGAGATTTTAGTACCAAAGCCATCTTGGCTCTGAGACCCAAGATCCAACATAAAAATGAGATCCCTAATTTCTTTTTTTTTTTTTTTGAGACGGAGTTTCGCTCTTGTTACCCAGGCTGGAGTGCAATGGCGCGATCTCGGCTCACCGCAACCTCCGCCTCCTGGGTTCAGGCAATTCTCCTGCCTCAGCCTCCTGAGTAGCTGGGATTACAGGCACACGCCACCATGCCCAGCTAATTTTTTGTAGTTTTAGTAGAGACGGGGTTTCACCATGTTGACCAGGATGGTCTCGATCTCTTGACCTCGTGATCCACCCGCCTCGGCCTCCCAAAGTGCTGGGATTACAGGCTTGAGCCACCGCGCCCGGCCGAGATCCCTAATTTCTAAAGATGTCAGTACTCTGCCTACTGGTACATCTGATTTTTTCATGTATACGAATTATGGCCCCAGAAGCTGCAAAGAATTACAAAAGTGGCAAAATCTTACTAAATTCAGAATTACAGTGGTCATTATATGGAATATCCTAGATGAACAAGATTGTTCTTCTAAGAGATACACTTGAATCCCAAATCTCTTGAATCAGGCAGAGAGAATGGGATTGTTATCCTAATTGACATTTAGAAATGTCAGAGGCTGAGCACAGTGGCTCACACCTGTAATCCCAGCACTTTGGGAGGCTGAGGTGGGGGGATCACCTGAGGTCGGGAGTTGGAGACCAGCCTGGCCAACATGGTGAAACCCCATCTCTACAAAAATACAAACATTAGCCAGGCATGGTGGTGCATATCTGTAATTCCAGCTACCTTGGAGGCTGAGGCAGAAGAATTACTTGAACACAGGAGGTGGAGGCTGCAGTGAGCCGAGATCATGCCACTGCACTCCAGCCTGGGTGACAGGGCGAGACTCCATCTCAAAAAAAATAAAATAAAATAAATAAATAAATAGAAATGTCAAAGAAACAATGGGA